GAAATTACATTAGAATTAGGGAATTAAAATTAGATGAATACTGCAGTTAAAATATCAGAGACAGAATATCTTAACCCTCACATCAAATTGTCAAAGCCAAATAGAGACTGCATCATCTCGATAGCCTATGCAGGCTATCTAGTATCCTGGGTTCATCATTAAAACTCACTATTATACTTTAAGATTAATCTACTGATAAAAACTTTATCACTTGAGTTGGATATTATACATATTTTAAAATTCCATGTCCTAACAATAACAGAAGACTAAAACAAAGCTTTCTTTCCTATTTCTTTTTCCATCTCCCACAACAAATTATATATTAAATAGAAGATATGAGTTCATCAACCCTTTAAAAGCTGTCAGTATGCTTTACAGATCGCCTCTATTTTCAGATTCTACCTCTCTATCAGAAATGAAAATATTATACTTCTGCAAGTCATTCTACATGCAGGGATAAGACTGTTCTTTAAAGTCAGAAAAAGTGAGGCCACCTACATCAATCACTACAATTTAGAGAAATCAATTAATCCCCCAACCTGTAGTTATATGTGAACTATTTTAGCCCATTGCAAGCTCTGGATCTTGCATAAAAGAGACAATACAAGTCAAAAGTACAAATTCCTAATACCAAGACTGTAACAGCCACACAGTTTTGCTGTGCCTGCTGGATACAGGCAGTACCAAGAAAACTGGCTCAGTCCCATCATGTAAAAAGGTTGAAAAGTATTATTTATTACAGCTATTGCAGCAACCAAATGACATAGATATGATCAAAAAAACTGTAAACCTTGGGGACCGAACGGACAATGCTACACCTACCTGCACTCCCACAAAATTTCTATTACACTATACTAAATTATAAAATAAGAGTTTCAGATGCAGGAACAAAGAAGGAAAATAGAAGGTATAACTGTAAAAAATGCAAACGCCATAGGAAAAAATAGTGTATTTAAACCAGGAAAAATAAAAAGTTTACAGAGTAAGTTAATGACACAAAGTTTGTGATGATAATCCTATTAAGTTACTGAGCTTAAGCCTATCTAAATTATAAGGAAACCCCTTAAAGGGGGACTCCTACCCATCACTCTCCTGATTCACCTGTAAGTTAGAATGTGTGTTTTGCCTTTTATTCTCTTACAGAGAGTAGTAAAGGTCAGCAGTGGTATGAATCTCATGAAAAAATGGACAACTGGAGAAGGAAGCATGCAATGGTTTGCAACTGCACTTACAGGTGTACACCAAACAGACAAAGGAGAAACACAAAGCTTAGGTTTATATCAGTCATGCTTCTCCCTCTATAATAGTAGTAACATCAGTAAAGCAGGCAGATAAGAAGAAAAAAATAATCTTGTAAACAAAAGAAAATATGTAAACAGTTTATAGAAGTACTTGTCTGTCTAAAGTCACTTAACTTTTAAAATAAGTATTAAAACTTGTACCCTTACAAGGTACCACAGAGGAACAGCAAGCATGTTTTATATGACGTTTATGGTGTTATTCATCAATTTTGAGATTGAATTCCTGCTTGAAGTGTACTGTGGAAAAGTAAAATCAATTTCCTCCTGGTAAATAAAAGTAAAGCTATATTCTGCCAGCTCCAGGGGCATCAGCAGAACATTTTTGCTACTGTAGCTATATGTCTGCCAGTGTTCTGCTACAAACAAAGTTGACAAAGTTCATGAGTGGGTAACATAGAAGCTCTCAGTCTAAAAGTACAGAAAAATTGAGTTCTTTTCAGTGACAGGCAGACAGAAAGGAAGAAAAAAAAAAAGTTCTTTGAAATGTCCCTAATCCTACTGCCTCTTTGGTTCTTTCTTCCTTGGAAAGTTTGCAGTGTACCAATTTTCAATGCGAACAAAGGCCCAAGGAAGTTCTACTGAAAAAATAAACAAGACATTTACAACAATAACATTGATAGATGTATATCTTCCTGGAACAAAGAACTGAAGAAAAAAACACTTCCAACGTTGGGGTCTCTGTTGCGTCCACAGCAGTTCAGTATAACACAACACATCACAGTTCTGAAGGAACTGTTTTCTTCCACTATGTAAGACATTTTAGAGACTATCCTCTTTTCGAGACTCATAAAACAATTCAACAAAAGCTGAAATCGCCATACAAAGGAGTTATGATCTCATCTGAATGGAGGCTAAGTGAGTCATTAAAAGGAAGACATAATACAAGCCAGATTTCCTGCCCAGCTTCCTCTGACCTCTGTTGGCAGAGATATTCTTCTCTTGTTGTAAAAAGCGTGCCTAGAAACTGTTCTGCTCACTATGCAGGCTCTGTCAGGAGAATACAACTGACATGCTTGTACAGCCGGAAGGATCACAATCAGGTATGCTCATTAACACACATACTTGACAGTTCTCTAATTGCAATGACTTACAGGGAGTCCTCCAACCCAGTTGAAAAATCACACTTTAACAGCAACCAAGCATTAAGTATTGCTTAAATCTTGCTTAATCCTGGCTAATCTTTAATACAAAATTTTGTCTTGTCATGATTAAAATATTATAGAAAATTAAATGTTCTTAAGCCTGATGTGCTACTATACCCACACAACAGTGTGTGCTGCGAATATATCTTGCACCTTAGCACTAAATTTCCTGACATCCATCCAGTTAAGTAAGCTCTTTCCTGTTATCCTAATATAAGATCTTGTGACAAACACATACCTGAACAGTTATTTTCTACTGAGAATCATCTTACACAGCCATATATCAAAACAAATATTTGTTGTTGTTCTCTAATACTCTCCTGTTGGGTACTTAGATGACTACTGATAGGTTTGAGATTACTGTGTTGGAACCTATTTTCGTGTGACAGCCGCAGTGCAGATACTTGTCGATACACTGGTGCTGAATGCTAATCACCACTACAGTCTGGGAACAATTGCTGGCTATGTCACTTATCACTAGAATGAATGGAAAGGCCTTAATTGCCTTATGATGTGCTTTGTGCTTCCTGCTGGAATGGCTAGACACCACTAGGAAATACTAGGAGGGATAAAATAATTATAAACCAGTGGGAATTTCAAGTGTTAATGATAAAAGCAGTTCCAAAAGTCACTTAAGGAACTCATTACTCTTCGTCATATATACAGTTTTAATGCTGTTCAAAAGAGATCTTGATTATTTGTATGAGAACTGAATTGAACACAGGCTATGAATAAGACGCATTAAAACATGTAATGTGGGATATAGGGAGGACACAAAGCATACAATTCCCTTAGTTTGTATATTCAGCTCCGTCACTTGACAGTATTCAAACAGCACAACTTTCTAAAAATATAAGTATTTTAGCTATTAAAATGTTGTTTAAAGTTTATACACTACACTATAATTTTGCTAATTCAAAGTTATAGAACAGAGGCAAAGTAGGTACTTCTCTGATGCTAATTAAACAGGATGCTCACACAGTATTTCCTGTAAATAAAAAATTCTTCGTTTTTCTCCAAATACTGATCATCAGGGTATATTTCTAATCAAAACAAAAAAAAGTGGGGAAAAAAGACACAGAAAAGAAAAATAGTACGAAAAAAGATCTGTGCGCTCAACATTTTCAAAACCTTCTAATTAAAATACACAAAATACTAAAATTAAGAGGGAGAGAATAAAGGCTGAACAGAGTGTTCACAAAATATCCCTAGCTGTTGGCAAAGATTTTATCTTTGTCATTTAATGATGATGAAGCCAAATAACTGTTGCTGGAATGTAAGTAGGCTGATGAAGAAAACTTTCAAAACAAAATGAGGGATAACGCAATTTATATTTTTCGTAGTAGTTCTTCTGTCTGTACAATTTCTCTTTGAATTTCATTACTTTCTATATTAGATGTCCCTTTCAGCAGATAGTCATGTATTGATCAAAGATATATTGCTTTAATATGCTTGTGTTGTGTTGTATGTTAAATTGCTTGTTCATACAGCCAGCAAGTTCTAAGCAGTTCACAAACTAGCAGAGGATTAGTAATTAATAACAATGCTAACTTCCAGGGGAAACTGGCTAGTTGTGAAGAAAACTTTTCTGGTATTTGATCCAATTTGTTCAAGACCCGACAGAAGCATTCAGCTAACTTAAATAAAGAGATTGTATGTTAAAAACTGTTAGCACTTACTGAATACTTACATTATTTGAACACAAAGTACATTAAGTTTAACGGTACATTAAAAAAAAATACAGTATCTATTAAGCACAAATCAGTTCTAAAAAGCATGGTATGAAGTAACTTTAACAATTTTCATAGGGAAGGCCAAAAGATACACAGTATGATGATTTGTGGACATAATGAAGTGGACGTATTTTTTTCCAGTTAAAAGAAAAATAAACAAGTGTAATTAAAATACTGCTAAAAGCACAGTTTATGCATTTAAAATTATGAATTAAACTTATTAGATTTGTTCAGTATGGTTTTAGAGAGACTTAATTTTACTTCCTTCTTCATCAATAGATTTTAATTTCAAATCTAATTTTTTATTACATTCACTATTTAAATAATAGTGTATTATGTTCCTGTCCACAAACACATTTCAAAATTGTTGAAGCAAATAAAGAAAGAAAGAAATCTGTTTGCCATTCCTAGGTTTATATCCAGCTAATTAAGCATGGCTTTAGGAGTAATTCCATAATAATTTATAAATTACCCAGGAAGTAAATACGTGTGTGCATATATACATAAACATATATATACCAAGAGTTACTCTGTCTACAAACACATCAGCGTGTATCCTTTCTATTTAATCAAATCAAATTTAAAAAAGACTATTTTACAAGATACTTTGCTTTAATCAGAAATTTAAAGACAACAAAACAAATTAAAAGAAGAAAAAAGTTTTCCATTCAATTTACCAATTTCTAACAAGAGTTAGATATCTATGGTTATGGGTGTATATATGTGAATGAACGAATAAATCCTTAACCCACCATATCTTTTTCTCCAGTTTGCAAGCTGTCACCCGTGAAAAGTATGGTGTAGATGGTAGGATGATACTGTACCTGATTGGCTCTGGAGGTGGTCATGGGATCAGATGGAGAGGACTTGGTGGTAGTTGGGGAAGATGGCAATGTCTGGGAACAAAGCAGTTCAGGAGCAAATCAACCTTTACAAGCCTTAGACTGAACAGTTAAAAAAATAAATAAACCAACAAAAGTAACGTAACTAGAAAATTAAAATAAATAAAAATGCCTAAGACAAAAATCTTTCTCCTACTCATTGAAACTTAATGGAATTTAAAGTCAATTGGATAAATAATGCATGTAAATATGCATGCTTATGCATGTAAAAACAAATTCATGACTTGAAATCAAGATGGCGAACTCACAGAAATACTCCAAAATACACTGACCATATGAGGAATATACTCTTTCCTCTCTCCTCCTCTCGGGAAAAATGAAGACTATAGTAAACACAAATTCCAGCAAGTTCAATGAGCATACTAGAAACAGCTATCAGTCTACAAACAAACAGGGCCAATGTCCGAAAGAAGTTAGAGACATTTATGTTGGCACCTTATAATGCACCATTCTATAGCACAGACTATAGCCAGCAAACTGTGTTCTGTATCTTACAACAATTAAACTGAAGCTACTGAATTTTTAGTAACTGCTAAAATATTCATTGATCTTTTTTAACCAAGAGGCAGGTGAAAAAATGTAAACATCAATCTCACGATGGATGAACATGCAACTAATACCTTCACAACAAATTACTACAATATATTTATGATTAGCTTTAAAAATGTTCATTTAGTTGAGCAAAGGTTAGTAAGTTATCATCAGACCTGCGTTCAAAATAAACACAAAAAAGAATTAAGAGTCATATTTATTGATCATGTTTTCTAAATAACATACATATGCTTAACATTAATTCTTGAACATATCAAAAAAGCACTGCTCTGTTTAAAATTTTTATATACACATTTCTCTTTTTGAAGTATTAGATCCTGACAGAATAACTCTTCCTTCCTTTTTATAAATGTAGTGAAAATGTAAAATTCCAATTTTCAAAACATAACATACAATACTTATTCAAAGCATGGTTTTTCACATCTTTGTAATATATAAATATTAAAAAATATCCAAAAATACACTATTTTTACTTTAAGAAATACGATGTTAAAATGCTATACAATGTGATTTATCATATGGTCATATAATTACTAAACAGAACTATTTAGAAATAAATGAAGCAAAATTTCACACTTTCAGCAGTTCTGTTACTTACAATCATTGACAGTCCCTCATAAAATAGGCATACATGCTTTTGCACTAAAACTCTTAATGCATATGAGAAAGCTGGGACACTGTGAATGCATAAAGTTGTGTATTAGCAAAATATGGGCTTGTACATATGCACACACAAATATTTCAGCTGTATGTTAAGCAATATGAAGATCCATTTTTTTCACAGTTTGTACATAAACAAGCAGCCAAAACAGCAAAAAACTATCTTAAGAAACAGATCCTTATTTTGTGTTTCCAACTTGTAACTCATGCTATAAAATAATAAAACCAAAAATAAAACATATACAGCTTAAGCATCAACTGGGACTCTTTCAAGAGGCTTAAGTGAAAAATACTACCATGTATAGGGCATTATAAAAAATATGTAGCTTGGCAAAATGTTATTGGTCATCAGATGCTCTACATTGTTAAAATGAAGACAATTATAAAGGATTCTCCCATGTCTTTCTATACAGAACATAGGTTTAATCGCAAGGGGCTAGAATTATTTAGAAAAACAAATGTCAGAATTCACGATAGTACAATGTTAACCCCATTCAATTATAGAATTCCACTTCTGATTTTAGTGGGATGATGTAGTATCTCTGTTACCAAAGTCTTAAATTGCCATGAACTTATTTTTATCGTTTAAGCTTAAACTAACGAGAAAAACAAAAACAAATACCAAAAACACCCCCAACCAAACAGAATGGAGGACTGTAACTTATCCTGACAGGTTATCTTTAGTATAGCTACATACATTAAACTCTTATCCTGAGCTAAAAAAAATATTAAAATTGTTACTATTCTCCAGCAAAACTCTGAAAACATATTTTGACTAAACATTTCACACATCTGACACTTTGCGTGATCAACACCACTGCTAATGAGTGCATACTGTGTTGTATATTGTTTTGGTATGCTAGGCTAATTAACAAAAGGAAAAACACTTCGTTCTTCACAGGTGTTATTGTATCTAACTAGTGGATTTATAAGAAAATATGTAGAACATTTCAACACTGAATAATTACTTCATCACTTATACCACGAGTAATTTAAAAAACTGGAAGCACCTCAGTTTTCAATTCATATCAATCTTCCTAAAGCACAGAAACATATGGCTGCAATGAAAAAGGAGTGATGTTAATAATTTCAGGTGATTATTGAACTGTAAAGTCCATTAAGTAGAAGCATTTCACTATACCATTTTAGCAAAAGCTTGTTTAAAATACAATAGAAAAAAGGCAAAAACATTTAAAAGCAAAGCAACTGTATTAACAAACAAGAATTAAGTACAGGTATACACATTTTTTTCTAAATATACATACCAATTACAAAATGCTGAATATACCAATAAGGATTTTTGTTTTGTGTTTTTGTGTTTTTTCTTTGTATTTCATGTTGGTTTTGTTTGAGCCTTAATCTCTCTTACTTTGTTTATGGGCATAACTGCTTTTCTTTTTTTATATATATCTATACATATATACACACACAAAGTATATCTATATAAAAAAAAGAACTGACAGTCTTTTGTAAAAATTCATCCCTTTTCATGCTTGTGTATAATTCTGGAGACACATTAATTTATGGAGACACACCTATTTATTTCTTCAATATTAAAGTAACACAAAGTAATTTCTCAAAAATAAAAATAAGAAACACAGGCTTTTGCGTTTTGTATTGAATTTCCACTGGCTGATAAGTAATTTATTGATCCACTCTAAACTGCTTTGCAAGAACTTTTAAGCAAAATTACTTCTTAAAGAAAGTTGGACAGAGCTCAATAATTCTGATTTATTATGCAGCATAGAATAATTTTTTAAAAATTTGGCAAGTGTTTTGCATTAGGCAAGCGCTTGAATTTAGTAGTTATTAGGCTTCTGGGAATGTGATGTATAAAATGATTAGAAGTCATAACATAAATTTACATTACAGAGTTTTAATTTTTGAGATGAAACATGCGCACTGTAATTGAAGCTTTCCTGAAATTGCAGGTTGACTGCTGGCAAGGTTATAGAAAACAGCCAGTCAGAATTTCTACCACACACCACTTCTAAGACTCATAGGGGTTTTAACATCTGTATCTTGAATAGTATAGTCCAAGCCATGGTGAAACTGATGTTCTCTGTTTTCTCAGACACTATCTCCTTTCCTATTACTTACAAAAAATGAATGGAAGACTATATTTACAGGAAAGAGAGTATTGTTTACTTTTACTTTAAGCTTCTAGAACAGATATTTGAGAAAACCAATGTTAACAAATAAAACAGGAGCTTAATTTTACAAATAAAAATCTGTTTGAGCTATATTTGAGTTGTAGTATTTTCGGAAAGTGAAGAAAATATTTCTTCCTTGTGTTGCTCACAAGAATTGATTTTACAGTGAGAGACTGCTCTCAGGCTGCAGAACACACTAAAGGGTGCAGAAAGATGGTCAAAGCATCTCACTTCCATGCTTCGTATTTTTGAGTAACAGGGTGAAGATATAGCTGTATGACTACAGTATAGAATACACATACTCCATCTGCATAGTGTTCCAAAAGGTCTCTGAGCCCTCTTTCAATGACTTCACAAATTGTCTACTGCAGAGTGATGTATAAATGGCAAAAGTCATACCCTTACATATAGATACTAAAAAAAAAAAAATCAATACGTATACCCTAGATAATAAATATTGTACTGAGACAGTTAATTCTCAGTACCTATTAGTATATTTATATACAGAAGAGTAGAAAAGGCAGAAAATGAAATACAACTTGAAAACAGGGTTAGAGACATGAAAGCATATAAAGAACATCAGTTAAATGTGAAGACGAAACTGCATTTACAGCTTACCAGTTTCTAATTTCTCACTACAGGGCTTGCCAAACAAAGGAAATCTTGGTAATAATATTTTTCACATTAAATTACTAATAATACAAAGCTAATACTGAGTTTCAGTTTTGCATATATTAATATTGGTGCTTTTAAAAACTAATTTGCTTAAGCCAATATTTTAATGCACTTCAGGAAAAGGTATCTTTTTTGAGTTGTATTAAACAGCTGAATACCTTCTGCAGCTAAAATGAGAAACAGAGAACACTGCAAGGCTCCATTGTGTTGAACAACGTAAAAGACTGTCTTACTAGACTTTCAACAGTACCAGAGATGAGCCTTTCTAAACAGACCACTAGCTTTGCTAAGCATACTGAGTCTTCTTTTCATCTGCTGTGAACTCCTTTAATATGTAACTTTGGCAAATGATTCTTATCTCAGTGATGACTGCATAAACACATAACAAATTTTAAAAAAATTTGAAAAGAAATAATCAAGGATTAATAATTTATTTACAATTGTAAATCCAGATTGTAGAAAGGCTACTTTAATGACTTCAATGATGTAATTTTACTTGCTACCTTTTCACTTCTGTAAAGAACAAATAAAATAAATATATTCTGATGATACTTCATCCTCTTTGTATTTAGTTTTCCTTTTGTGTAAGAGGATACACAGGGCATAGGGTAATACAGAAAGACTAAGAAAGCCAGCAAATATAGATGGAACGCTTACTTAGAGGTCTTTATAGAGGTAATTTATCTGCATTTATGAACTCTTGGGAACCTGTATTTGAAAAAGGAAAAAAGTGTGGTAAGTATGATGTAAAAGAACAATTATCCTGTGCTCTGTCGGGACACGAAGGGGTAAGGAACTTAAAGCGAAACAGCAGGTGCCATTTGGATCATCAGAGCAAGTCTCGATGGAGGGAATGATTTAGGATGAAGACTACAGTAAAATGGGCAAAGAAGAATCAGGACCTTCCTTTTTCTCCAAATTTGTCACAGTAACACAGAACTACTGCAAGATCTG